AATGTCATGAAAAATTATATATCAGGTCTCATCTCTGTCAACTGCTCACTCCATATTCCAAAGGAGTTAAGTTTATTTTGTTGAGAATGATGACTCCAATCTTGTCTCATTTTTATGAGTAGTAATTTATCTGCAGTCAAAAGCAAAATATCACATTCAGAGTTGCCTAGCTGAACTCCTGCAATTGTTTGAAAAGAAACTCTCCCTCCCTCCCTTCCTCTCTCCCTCCCTCCCTCCCTCTCTCCCTCCCTCCCTCCCTCCCTCCTTCTCTCCCTCTCTTCCTCCCTCTCTCCCATTCTCTCTTCCCTCCCTCCATCACTCCTCCCTTCCTCTCTCACTCCCCCTTTCTCTTCACCTCTCGACTAATAAATCACACACACACACACACAGAGAGAGAGAGAGAGAGAGAGAGAGAGAGAGAGAGAGAGAGAGAGAGAGAGAGAGAGAGAGAGAGACACGAGTCCCACAGTTTGCTAGAGGTATTTTCAGTGACATGTGCATAAAAGCTTACACATTCCTAACAGGTGTTTTTTTTTCACTCTGATTTATGCCATCGGTTTTTGAATGGCCACAAAGTTCCAACTCAAAAGGCAAATTATAAACAACACTGTGCACTCAACTACTAAAGAAGTCGGAAAAGCTACTCCTTTAAAAATCGTGATTGATTAGTAATGCCTGCAGCTGGCATAGCCTCTGAGGAGTGGCAGCACACATGGGCCAAGTACATCTGTGCCTTGGCTTTTTCTCCTCTGAAGCAATCAAAACACCATTATTAGCCAAAAATAAGAACCACGTTTCTCCTTTTTGAGATGGCCTCATAACTCAGACTTTTCACCAGGATTGACCTTTTCCCAATTAGGGGATATTACTGCATTATCTGGATTTTACTGGTTTAGGGAGGATTTTTCTGGACCATCTCCCGGGTGATGGCAATGATCCCAAAGTACTCCTGGAGAGAGGCAATTCTGTGATCTCATCCCGGAGCTTTTAAGACTTTCTTTTGGATTAAGGGTCTTAGCATCTCATTTTTAAGGAAAAAGAAGAGGCGATAAGTACTATATAAACATGTATTTTCTTAAGAGTATCTTCCGAGAATTGGTTTGAGTCAAGTCAGTTTTAATGAACTAGCTGGGCTTAGTGCACTTGTTATTCAACCTCTGGGGACAAACATTCCCATCTGCATGAAATCCTGGGCATGTCTTTCCAGCCTTGCTGATCACAGGGTGGATCTTAGCTGTGGCAGCCGCCTCAGGACTGGCATCGTCTTCCCTGTGTAGACTAAGTCAAGCCATTGACTGGACTCCTTTGGCAACAAGCAGGTGAATGCCTGGGGGTCAAGTGATGGAGGGAGGGCACTGTTTGAGCTGGACTGTGGTCACCACAGTGCTAATCACAAAGCACACAGCAGCTGAACGATTCTTCAGAGAATTTTTGCAGAATTGTAATGGCTCCCTCTCTCATTTTCTTCCCTTTTATTGTTTTCTCTGATCTGGTCTAAAGGCAAATCTGTAACTCAGTGGCACGGGAAATACTCATTCCTGTTTTTCAGTAGGGGAGAGCTTGGCCAGAGCATTTATGCCAGTGGAGTTAGAGGGGGTAGTTGGTACATTCTGGCAATGTATGTGTTCTATCCAGGGTCCAATTTCAAAATTTGCTACGAGATTTGTTCTTTGTTACAAAGTTAAACATACACTCACTATCCAATCCAGAAATTCCAATACAGACATGTGTCCACGTAAAGACATGCAAGCCAAGTCCAGGGCAGCTTTACTCATGTTTCCTAGCTAAAGCCAGGAAACTTCTTCCTCCTGAGTAGAATGGATAAACAAACTGTGACTTATTCAGAAAATAGACTATGCCCCCAGTGAGATAAAGAAATAAACCCGGTAACATGAGCACAGCTCAAATAAGATGACTCTGTGGTTATAAACACTTGTTGCCCTTTCAGAGGACCCAGGTTCAGTTCCCAGGACCCACACTGGGTGGTTCACAACCACCTGTAACTCCAACTCCAAAGGAACTAACATCTTCTTCTGCCAGCACGTCAGCATAATTATTGTTTTCAAATGGAAAATTTTCAGCGATATTCCACAGTGGCTCACTTTGAGGAGCCACCATCTCCTGATAGTGAGCCTGCCTCCTGAATGACGTCAGTGAGCTGAATAGAACAAGCCACTTTCCACTTTGCCACAAATAATACCCTGCAGTTTGTCTGGTTCCACCTGAGTCCCTTGCTTGTCTGCCCAGGCTCAGGTCATATTTAGCTAGCAACCCCTCAGCCATCTCAGTGATGGGTAGCCAGGATCCACAAGAAGTAAATTACTCCCAGGCTTTCACAAATGACCCATGACATTATTTTAGTAGTAAAGTTTTTAATAAACTAGGGGGGAAAAAACCCATCCCTTGAAGTCACTCACTCATGAGTATCCATAGAGATATCACAGTAAAGCTCTGACATTTTAGTTCACCTTCTGCCAACACCTGACAGGAAGGAACAGATGACCACGTGTGTAGGAGAGAAAGTTTCAGTTACCTGAAGTTGGCCAGGACTTTAAGAGAGCCACAGCTCAGCGAGTGAATTGAACACAAACTAAACCCGGAAACAGATCATAGAGTTCGACAAGGCTGGCCGGTGTTTTCCTTTCTGTCCATTTTCTCTAATTTAGTATTAAAGAGATTCAGGGAGCAAGGTTACATACTCTTCACATAATTATTTGGAAACTCTTCTTGTTTATTTTCAGTGCCTCCAGATATTTAATGACAGGTTTGAATTTGCTAGAGTTTGCAAGATCCCCTCTCTAAAATAACTGGTCGTGGAGACTTCACCACGGTTTCTGGTCTACCTCCTCTATTCCATTTCCATAAATATTTCCAATGGAAAAATACTCTAAAATTTCTCACGTAATTGCCTAATTCTGTGATTTGCATTATTAGGGTCTCAGTTCTGTTGATAGTCTTTGTTCCTTCTTCCCTAAGTAAAAAATAAACTTAGCCGGGCGGTGGTGGCGCACGCCTTTAATCCCAGCACTCGGGAGGCAGAGCCAGGCGGATCTCTGTGAGTTCGAGGCCAGCCTGGACTACCAAGTG